CGAAGGGCTCAGACTAGTGGTTGATTGTGTTAGTTTCAATCCATGCAACGGGTCAGACCAGTTGTTGATTGTGTTAGTTTCAATCCATGCGACGGGCTCAGACCAGTGGTTGATTGTGTAAGTTTCAATCCATGCGACGTGCTCAGACCAGTGGTTGATTATGTTAGTTTCAATCCACGGGACGGGCTCAGACCAGTGGTTGATTGTGTTAGTTTCAATCCATGCGACGTGCTCAGACCAGTGGTTGATTGTGTTAGTTTCAATCCATGCCACTGGGCTCAGACCAGTGGTTGATTGTGTTAGTTTCAGTCCATGCCACTGGGCTCAGACCAGTGGTTGATTGTGTTAGTTTCAATCCATGCGTCGGGCTCAGACCAGTGGTTGATTGTGTTAGTTTCAATCCATGCGTCAGGCTCAGACCAGTGGTTGATTGTGTTAGTTTCAATCCATGCGTCGGGCTCAGACCAGTGGTTGATTGTGTTAGTTTCAATCCATGCGTCGGGCTCAGACCAGTGGTTGATTGTGTTAGTTTCAATCCATGCCACTGGGCTCAGACCAGTGGTTGATTGTGTTAGTTTCAGTCCATGCGACGGGCTCAGACCAGTGGTTGATTGTGTTAGTTTCAGTCCATGCGACGGGCTCAGACCAGTGGTTGATTGTGTTAGTTTCAATCCATGCGACTGGGGTCAGACCAGTGGTTGATTATGTTAGTTTCAATCCATGCAACGAGCTCAGACCAGTGGTTGATTGTGTTAGTTTCAATCCATGCCACTGGGCTCAGACCAGTGGTTGATTATGTTAGTTTCAATTCATGCGACTGGGGTCAGACCAGTGGTTGATTATGTTAGTTTCAATCCATGCAACGGGCTCAGACCAGTGGTTGATTGTGTTAGTTTCAATCCATGCCACTGGGCTCAGACCAGTGGTTGATTATGTTAGTTTCAATCCATGCAACGGGCTCAGACCAGTGGTTGATTGTGTTAGTTTCAATCCATGCGATAGGCTCAGACCAGTGGTTGATTATGTTAGTTTCAATCCATGCGACGGGCTCAGACCAGTGGTTGATTGTGTTAGTTTCAATCCATGCGACGGGCTCAGACCATTGGTTGATTGTGTAAGTTTCAATCCATGCCACTGGGCTCAGACCAGTGGTTGATTGTGTTAGTTTCAATCCATGCAACGGGCTCAGACCAGTGGTTGATTGTGTTAGTTTCAATCCATGCGACGGGCTCAGACCAGTGGTTGATTGTGTTTTATGCGTCCTGCTTTAAGTTTCATACCTCTCGCCTCCGGCTCTGAGTGATTCTGCCACATCAAATTTATCTTACCAACATGTCTTGATATCACATTGTTAAATAACTAAAACAAATTCAAAATTGGTAGAAGATAGTGCGATTGAGCTGATCCAGGTAAACTTGTGCTATGACTTTGAAAAAGCATGCAGCTTTTTGCTTTAAAGCGGGGTATAAATCATTAAATGATTTATTCTGCCTCTCAGAAATCCAGGAGCGGTCCAGTAGCCTAGTGGTAAAAGTGGTCGTTTGTCCTGCCATAGGCCCGGGTTCGATTCCTCACATTGGTACAATGTGTGAAGTCCATATCCCCCACAGTGATATTGGTGGAATATTGCTAAAAGTGGTGTGAAAACCATACTCAATCAAATCTCAGAAATCCACATGCAGCCTGACTTGCTTGTGGTGGGGTATAAGGGATTTATTCCCCTGCTGAGAAATTTATTCCTCTCCAAGGCGGAATACACAGTATTTTATCAAGATCATGTGGACCAATCAGATCTCATCATTCTGGCATGGAGGTATCATATACGCAGTTATATGTTCCTATTCCTGAAAATCTGAAATGAAATTGATTGTAATCTGTGTGCAAACACAGAAATGTTACATCAACAGTTCCACGTTCAATAATGTTTTCTCCAAATTTTGTTCCCAGAGAGCTGTCATTGATCAGTTTGGAATCATCATTCTGTATTCATGTTGGGTGATAATCTCAAATACAATCAGTCGAAAAAGTTTGAGTCTTCTCACTCGAACCTGTCTTTTGAGCTCATTTAGTTAGTGTCAATGTATACTTTTATTAGCAAAGCCCACTGAACCAAAAGAAATGTTACCCGACTCTGACTTCAGGCTGATGACTAAAGTCACAGACTCTACAATTGTCCTGGTTATATATTTAAGACATTAAGTGACATTATTTCTCATAATGTACAGCCGAGTTAATGATAACTTGACATTGGTCCTGAAATTACACTGCTTATTTGGAACAAAAGATGTTCCATGTTGCAAGTGATTACATGGCATTTGATTGGCTTAACTAAGCCAAGGAATATATTTTGTCGGAACTCTTTTTAGTTTAGGACATGCCCACTAGTCGTCTACCGTTTCCTGATTGGCTAATTGGCTTATGTCATGCAAAACAGATTAAACATACTGATGCAGGGTATGAAAGTCCCAAAAATTTCAGCCAGACCACAGGACTGGCTACCTGAAATACTTGCCAGCTCTGACCAAAACCTGCCTGCCCACTATAATCATATGTTTCTCAGGATAAGCTAACAGGGTTTCTTTTTGGTTACATTTTATCATTCATCTTTACATGTGAATTAATGCTTATCATCGGGAAATATTTAGAATATATGAAATATAACCCGACCGTCAGGCAGGGGGATTTAAAAATCTGGCAGCCCGAGTTGAAATCAACCTGTCTCGGACGGTCGGGCAGGCAGGTATTTCGAACACTGACTGATGGCAAAATATTCTGTGACTTACCACAAATCTTTTGTGACAACACTTTAGTTGTTTCAATCTACAAGTCTTGTTCGACAACTTAGTGAACATCCTTGTGATGCTTTCTGATTATAAGTTTATAAGTTTGAAATTCTATTGCCACCGTACCATTTACTCATTGAGAAACATGTTCCCAGCCTGCTTGAGGCGGTAGCATCAGAGCTGGCTGCTTGTATACATCATCAATATGGATGTATTTCATATATCGCATATGTTGTCCAGGATATGAGTGCAATATGATGAGAAATGTCTTGTGTGCTTCGAAGTTCATGTTACATTTGTCAGCCATGGTTGCAATTATTTTTCGATGGGGAAGATCAGGAAGTGCTTATCAAGCTGTCTATATTGTCCACAACAGACATCCTTCTATTGATTGGGATGCTGGTTTCAGATCAGATTGGACATGTGATCATAAAGCTTCTCCAATATACCTTTTACATGGACTCCAGGGTATTATTTGTATGATGACTCTTGAGTCCTTATTCACTTTTATGCCCATTGAAGTGTTACATTGGAGTCAGTATTTAGATATTTATGAAAAGACAAGGTTGCGGCATTTTTGACAAGTTTAAACATTCTTTTTTTCATCTTTGGACATGGGAAGATAATATCTGGCTCAGTTTGTTTAATTTTGACATGAAAACACTGATGGTACGCAGACATGTTGGGACGAACGAGGACAGACAAAACCTAAGTTTTCTTCATATAAATCTGTTTTAATTCATTTGCATTTCGGGTAGTGGGTACAACTTGCCACCCAAAATGGGATTAATACATGTGAATATATCAATGTCTTGAAACTCTTTCAAGGTTAAAAAAAAATCAAAAAGTGTTGGGACAAACGGAGACAGACATGATGCTTTAAAATAGCAATTTACAAGAAAAATTAAATGTTCCCTGAAGTATGGAATGAAACATTACAAGTACATTAAGATATAATCAAACAATTAAAGGTTAATTACAACTATTTAAGCAGCACAAGACAAATAAAAATCAGGGTTTTGTGTCGGGACGAACAAAGGACAGACATTTGTGATGTCGGGACGAACAAAGGACAGACATTTGTGATGTCAGGACGAACAAAGGACATACAAAGCAAAACAGGATAAAATACAGTCTGCAAACCACTTTTATTTCATATTCCAAATCATACTGTGTGACAAGTCACAAATTCTACAATGGTGATGACGATGTATCTCAAAATAATTTCTAACTGGTCTATAACCATGGAATATTTTTCAATATAAACAACCCAATAAGGCTGTCCCATCGCCGGAAAATAACAGCTGTTCATTATTTCTGAATTAAATCATATGCATATCAATAATATCTAATTTAGCATAAAAATTCATGAAGTATCATGCAATTATGTCTTCTTTACAACCAACTATAAATGTGTCTACTTTGTAAAAAAAAATGCTTGTGCCTCATGGTATGCCCGAAATATGTTCTAGAAGAAAATTCTTTTGTTTCTAGATATTATTTTGACATTAAGTTACTAATTAACACACCAGGGTAATTACATTGTAATGAAGTTGTAATATATAGTGATAACACATTCCATTACTGTATTAATACATAATTTCATTCCAAGTACAATTGTTTATCGGTAGACAAGATTCCCAACAGCCTGGAATGTGGTTTGGGGTTTTCCAGAAATTAATGTGGGCAGGGCAGGAAGATATTTTCTAAGACTCAGGGACCCCACACGCCCATCAAATTTTAAAACTATAATGCTGTATGCAAGTTGTATATTAAAAATAACAGATTGTGGAATCTTGATATCCCCACCACTCATTAAATATTTTTAAATGTACACCCCAGCCCTCTCAAACATTCATTTAGGAATAACCCTTTATAATTTATATATTCAGTAACTGTTTGACAATTATTCATTGTACTGAATATTTTACAAACCACTTCAAATTGTTGATGAATTCAAAGTATTATCGCAAGACTTAATCAGGAAAAAACTGCGACACAATAAATTATTCCTAGGCAAAGCTGTACAATTGCTGCTATTTTGTATCCACATGAAAAATCATTTTAGAAAAATTAATTTAATTTAATTTAACTTTGAAAGTCTTCCACTGTGCAATTAAACATTAGCTATCCTGTATCTTGAATATTGTTTATCTCAATGACCAATATCAGTTTTGCCATACTCCTTTTTATGTTTATTCAGAAACTGGTTATTGAAGTCCTCTTGGTTCTTGATCTCGTAGTCCATTCTAAAGGTGGACAGGGCGTTAGTCATCTCCTGTATCAACAAGATATATATAATTGCATCACCAATAAAATGTTAAAAATTGAAGAACATTAACATACAAGGCAAGGCAATTCATAGTCCCTCATCGAAAGATAATAAGTCAATAATATATAGGTAAGGTGACCTACTTTAGTATGCTACACTTCACTTTTGCAAGATACACTTGTGCAACACATGGTAAAGTTTGGTGAAAATCGGTCCATTCATAGTGAATCTAATTTGCTATTTTGTTATTATCTATGTGCAGATGAAGATTATTGTTGAAATTGTTGTACAGCTCCAATGCACAGCACATGCTAACATATCTAACCATAAAAACAGTGTTTTCGGGGACTGTCCCTTTAAACAACATTATATTCATGACCAAAAACTTGAATTCTTTCAGTACAACAGTCAGAAATATGATGCAATATTTTGAGTTAGATAAAGTTCTATTAAATGTCCTACCTCAAATAATGTCCAATCAATTGCTATTCTGACGTCTTCGAACATGACAGTGTGGTGGATGTCCTTTGCCAGCCATCTTTGTTTCACTTTAGTGAAAAAAGTCACCCATGGCCAATCATCCACCTGTTGAAATCAAAATTATAATATATAATATGTATTTGCCACTTCAACATGATTTCATAAGCAAGCTGCACAGTTTAATTTTATTGAAGGATTCACGAAAGCAGACTGAAGACAGAAGACTGAAAATGTAAATATTGCCCCATGAACAACCAGGTTAATTTTAGATGGGGCTGCCACAAACTCGGCCAACTTTTCATTTGAACCCAGACCCAAATTTCCTGTGGATTTTGAGTTCTAGACTTAACCACTTTGCCACAGTGGTTCTAATAAGCAAAATATAGACTGTATAACTGAATTTAATTGTGATCTAGGAAGTATCAAGACAAGTAATAATTGTAATTTACCATGCTTTTACCAAAGTGAAGCACATCCATATAGTAAATATAAATTTGAAGTTTTGTTTAATATCCAGGTGGTATTTTATTTTTAAGATTAATTTATTAAGCATAAATGAGATTTTGTAATGATATTGTGTATAATTACTTCCCTTTGGAGGATGTGAGTTTCCATTTTGTTAAAAACCAAAAGTATATTGTTGAGTCCAATGTGATCATACTGATAAACAGAGAAATGGACCCATCTATTAATCTACTACATATCGGACTATATATATTTCCCTTGTTGACTTGGAGTAACTCCATCTTGTTTTTATATTGGAAAACACAAAGTTAATTCTGAAGTTTGTTACCTGTCAACTTGTTCAGGATTCATCCGACCCCTATAATCAGCTTTTCGCTTTCGTTCCTGTTCGATGTAGTCTTGGTCACCTTTTTTCAGCTGCCTCCCATCGCCTACACCTCTCACCATTCTAATGAGACCAATAAGTACATTCATTAATTTACAATAAAGCAAAATGCACTGTCAATAAACATATAGATCTATATTTTATTCATAAACAAACTAGGACAACACTTATATTCTGTTACGCCAAGCTAAAAAAACTGAAAAGGGGAGGGGGGAGATATTTTGATTTTTTATGAAATGTTCCCAGGATTAAGGAATAGGGAATTTTTTTATCATTATTTTTTTAATTTAAACTAACTTTTATAAAGCTTGATGTAGACCTACACACTTAAAATCCTAATCTAGGAAACGCACAATTAATTTTGTTCGGCCCTACTTTGAAAAATGTCAGCATTCAAATTAAAAAAACTATAATATAGTTTTGAATGAGTAATTTTATATGGAGGTATAATTTTCTTTGAAACAGTACAGTTCTCAGGTTTTAATTTACAAAAAGTCATCCATCCTAACCTAAATTCATGTTCACATTTTTTCATGTCATTTATTGTTTTAACCCTTGTATGTAAATGTTTAACATGTTTTACATAGCCCCATGGAAGATTAAAGTAGCTCCAAGATATAAATGAGTCAATTAACTCTTTCAACACCAGTCAACCAGAAGTGTTTACTGCTGGGACACGATATAACTGGAATACTGTTAAAAGCGGCGTTAAACCCAACTCACTCACTCACTCACAAGTTCCCAGAGACTCTTGTGTGATAGATGAAGCCAACATTCATCAAAGAAGATATCTGCTTGTAAAATATATTTGCTGCTACATGTTATACATCAATTGAAAGGTCTGATCCTATAATCCTATATTTTATAAATATGAAAGTTATGTTTTTCACATTATTTAAAATAATGCATAAGTTTGTTGTAAATAAATAAAATGTAAGCTAACACGTAGTTAACATCCAGATTAAGGACCAAGGAAGCGAAAACTTGACGATTTTCGGCAAATATAAGATTTCATAAAATCCACTTACCCATTTCTGTTTTATTTTCATTGTTTACGTAATTGGAAAATCATTTTAAAAAGAATTATAAATAGTTTCTGTCATCACCCATTTCCCGATAACAGCGGCTGTCCGCTCAGTAACATGAAGAAATACCCCCGTTTTCGAGACTTCGTATGAATAACACGTTCGTTGAAGAATGGCATATGACACATCGCTGGAAAGCTTATTCCTCCATCTACACGCTCGTAACATGGTCTGGTTTTTGTTCCGTAGTTATAACAATCGATGTCATTGGAATAAAATTGGTTTCTTATGAGGCTTTCTTGCCGAAATCTGCTACAAGGTTCGCGATTAGCCAAATTTGAGCACGTGACCTAAGGCAGCCAATCAAATTACAGCTGTGATAACAAGTTCGTGTTTGGTAATTTTCAGAAGTTGACGAAAGATTTTCGTTAAATCGTATTATTCTGAACGTTTTAAGCAGGAAATCATGATATATATTAAAAATACGGAACTTCGTGAATGCATCGTGCTAGGTTATGAGCTGTGACAAAGATTTTTCATGCATATATTATGGCATTAAACATTGTGTCCGAGCCGAGAATTCAAGGCGATGAAAGCCGAGATGTCATTTGACTTGCATTACACGCGATACACGAACATATGGAAATAATAACCCATCTATGTAAGTTTGATTACTTTTATATATATTTTTGTTGATTTTATTTATTACTTTGTATAATATATGTAAAGATTTGTTTAAAACGTCTATATTTTGCTCTTTGACATGTTCGATGTGGACCCGTTGTGCGATAATTTTATTTTCAATAACATCACGGAAAATAGTGAATACTTTTTTAATTTATCGATGTAAAATGATAAATTGAAAAGGAATACGTATTTCCGACATTGTCAAATGTGATAGATTAAATAAATGAATGATATTACAGGTAGGTCCATAAAAATATATACTATTTTGCCCGACCGAAGTCGTCTGTCTACCAGTTTGTCCGACCGTCAGATAATATGTCCACTTGTTACGACCGACAATAAAATGTCTGTCTCAATGTTATGCCCGAACGAAGTAAGTCTGTCCAACTTTTTCTATGCGAGGCTTTGCGCAAAGCTTGTTCTTATTCATAGTGCGAAGCAAACTCTAGTAGTCGTGTTTAATTGTGTGTTTGAATTACTTTTCTAAAGTACTTGTGGCCGAACTGGTGAAAACTTGAACTATCGTATATAAATCGACTAATTCAATGTTCGCCCGTAACATTGGGTCGCCTGTAACATTTACACTTACCGAGCCAGACGTGGAAGCATCCTTCTTCTTTGGCGCCATCTCTGCTGCTGACCAAATTTCGGCAATCATGTAATTCGTATCATGTGGAAACCAACCGGAACTTGGCAAATCCGATGACGGAATATAAACCAGATGACGTGTAGCGATCAGAAAAGTTAAATTATGATCGACAATTCGCCCGTAACAGTGGGACAGAGTTTTCTATAGACGTTTATGATTTGCATTTATTTTCTGTGGTTGCAAACCTGTTTTGATTTCATGTTTAGGTTTAACATACATTGATCACCAACTTTCATTCTGCTTCCGAAGTAACTTTCTGTGGTTTCACAATTCGTTACAAAATGATGTTTTTGTTCACCACCCATCGAGGACAGACATTGTTACGTCCGACACTTGTCAAATTAATTGTACATTTGTATTAATTTTTTTTTTTTTTTCAATTTTTTTTTTATTGAAATCTGTTAAAGTACAAAGGTACCTGTTACATTCTGTTAAAATCGTACATTAATATTGAACTGAATGTGGAATACAGCCTACAGATTGGAGGTATGCACAGACATGTAACAAACAGAACTCAGAAAACACACTTGTTTTAATTTAAAAATTCTTTTATTTAATTTATATACATTGTTTAAAAAGCTCAAAATATGTTTACTATCTCCAAAATTCATGATGTATCCAATGTAGTTCAGATTTTGCAGATACTCTCCTTGGAATTAAATTTACAACTGTTTGAAATTCATAGGTATCAAAGTGGGCACTCTAGTGAATAAGGACTCTCTTATATAACTGAAGAAGGGGACTACTTTCTCCATTCAGCTGTAAGCAGAGGATTAATTTGTGTTTGAAGTGTTCGTTTGATTTGTTCAAATGACTAGTGAAGGATATGCAGAGGAACATTGTTGTATTGAAATCAATTTAACCAGAAAATGTTTTACCTATATGGTTCGATGTAAACCCTGAATTGGTGAAGATTCCGGGTTAGAAAAGGTCTTCAGCAACCCATACTTGCCGTAAAAGGCGACTATGCTTGTCGTAAAAGGCGACTAACAGGATCGGGTGGTCAGGCTTGCTGACTTGGTTGATACATTTTATCGATCCCAATAGCGTGGATAGATGCTCATGATGTCAATCACTGGATTCTCTGGTCCAGACTCGATTATTTTACAGACCGCCTTCATATAGCTGGAATATTGCTGAGTGCGGCGTTAAACAACAAACAAACAAACTGAATTGATTCAGTGTTACAGTGATGCAAGTGAGAGTGAATGTTTTACACTAGTAGTCTATGCAAAATTAAGACTGTATCACTTAGATGTTTCACCAAAGTGGTAAGCGTTTGCATCTCTCTAGGGTTTCCTCCCAAATCAAGACTTTCCGTGATAAAATTTAAATGCTTTTCAATGTGGCGTTACACCAAACTCTCTGACTATATTACTGTGGCCTGTAAATACTGTTATCCTCACTGGGCATACGAGTGGTTGAAGGCACGAACACGACACACGATTATAAACACGCTATCAACCTGTGTATACATTGCAACCACCTTGTGATCAGGTTTTCTCCAACAAGAATGTTACCAGGTTGCATTTTTAAAATCATCAGACGAGTTTGTGTTGAAAGCTGGTGTGTTGACATTTCCAATGCATTTCTATTATGAGCTGAACACTGTCAGTGGCAGTCACTAATACTGGTCCACAAGGGACAGCCTTGTCTTTCATCTGAATGCATCTATTAGCATATCAAGGACAGCACTGATAATGATAGGCATATGGCATTGTATTTTCCTCAAAAATCTATACGTGATATGTATACATATTAAATCTATAATGCACATTTCATGAAACCTTGCTTTTATTTTTGTTTAAGGGGTGATGGATTTATTCTTATTGCAGAACAGTATACAGTGTTTGTTTGGCTTGTTGTTTATTCGAGCATTCAGAAATATTCCAGCTGTATGATGTAGTCTTGTGGGTAAAGTGTTGGCTTGTAGCGCCGAAGACCCACGTTCGATTCCCTTATACATGGATACAATGTGTGAAACCCATTTTCTTGTGTCCCCAACTAGAATATTGCTAAAAGTGGCGTAATACCATATTCACTTACTCACTCATTCACACACTGAAAGTAATAAAGCCTGGACCAGACAAACCAGTGATTGATATTATGAGCAACAATCCAGCTAGTTGGGGTAGCGTGGCATGCCATCAACCAAGTCACCTAGCCTGACCACCCGATCCACGAAGTCGACTCTTACAGCCAGCATAGGTTGCTGGGAACCTGTTATAACCCCCATGGCGTTTCTGATGTAGTGTATAAGTACTGTGTGGGCTGTAACGATTCATTTTTGCACCATGGGCAGAAAGAGATGCCGTTACTTGAGGCTTGTGGCAAGAGCAGGTCCTGGATGACAAATGTAATGCCCATTGCAGTATTTTTCCACACTATGAATATGACATTCAATGATCAGGTATCAATAGAAGTCAATAAATATGACAAGGACAAGGACAAGTCTGTATAATGTCAGTGCTGTCATGCATTCTGATGCTTACAGATCAAAGAAAAAGATGTCCCTTGTGTACCAGTATTAGTTCAACTGACAGTGTTCAGCTCTTAATGTGAATACAAATTGCAAATATCAACACACCAGCTTTCAACACAAACTTGGCTGATGATTTAAAAAATACAACTGGATAACATTTTTGTTGGAGAAAACCTGATCATTAGGTGGTTGAAATGTATACACAGGTTGATAGCGTGTTTGTCATGCTGGGTCGTGTTGATGCCTTCAACAACTGGTGTGCCTAGCCCAGACTTTAATACAGTACATCGAGCAAGGACATGTTTTTGAAATTAATTGTAAAAATAGTATATTGTTATTGTGTAAAAGGTCAAGGGTCATTGTTACATCAAGTTACTCAAATTTATTCAATGTGTTTGGTGATCTCTTTGATTATGTGATATGGTTGTTATCCATGTAATTTGGGCGGTCAGGTAGCCTAGTGGTTAAAGCGTTCGCTCGTCACGCCGAAGACCCGGGGTCGATTCCTGACATGGGTACAATGTGTGAAGCCCATTTCTGGTGTCCCCCACCGTGATATT